TTCAAATAAAATAATTTTTCCCTCAAGTCCCCACAGCACAGGTGTAGTGGAGGTCAGAGATAATACTATAAGCGGTACACGAGTAACCAGAATACAGACTGTAGTGTTAGGAGGCCAAACAGCTGTAGCAGGTGTTGAGAGATAATGAGGTGTTATGACGACTACATTTCACTACAAAGTATTAGTTGTTGATATGTTCAATGGTCGATGATAACGATGTCTTTCTCACCTGTCGCCATCTGTTCTTACCTGCCCTCATTTGTTCTCACATGACCTCACCTTTCTCATCTGTTCTTACCTGCCTTCACCTTTCTCACCATAAATTAATACTCACATTGGTCTCTCACCTATTCTTAATGTATATCTCTAACCCTTTTATTTATTAACGCTAGCAACATCTTTCTCACCTGTTCTCACCTTTCCCAGTCAGTCATTAAAACTCTTCCCTCCAGGTAACAGCGTCTCACTCACCTTCACAGAAAATATCTCATTCCTTTCAACTCCCAGACTACGACATTTCTAGTTAGAGTCTTGCCGCTTACAAAAGAAGGATTGTAATGCACAGGTGATTCATTTTTTTCCTTCACCTGTACCAATGAGCTGTTCGAGGCTCCATTATCGAAAAGAATTATAGATAGATAGATAGATAGATATTCAGTAAACTCCTTATGCAAGTTCATATTGATTCAGTATGTACAGAGGCAGTGTAGGTATAGAAACAATGTATATAGACGGTGTAGGTATAGAAACAATGCCAGTTCAGGGGTTAAGAGTTAGCTAAAGTGATCCTTTTCGCTACAGTTGTGAATAAAGGTGATGGCATGGACAACAGTACCGAGGCATCACCCGCGTTAGCTCGTCTTCAGGTGCGACGAAACTAATCAATTCATTTCTGGGAAGTCAGGTGGAACTGGAGGACAGGTGAGTCACTTAAATAGGTTTATGTAAGTGTTATGTGTTCATGTGTACTGTATATAATCAAGCTAGGCTGTGTGGATGTTACTGTATTAAACCTGCCTCCCGCTGCGCAATGTTTCACCTAATTATTTTTAATGAGCAAAATACAGATTTCTTATAAGTTTAAATGCTTATTAATCTTCAATAAAACTGGATGGAAATAATTTACCGTCGAGAGGCTGTGCGGCGGGGAACTTAGTCGTATTGAACGTTGTCTTTCCTAATATATTAGTTTTAATTTGTCATTTTACCTCTTTATCAGCTTACTAACAGTCACAAAATAACATCGGTTTTATTGCCGTTGCAGGTGATCAAGGGCAACATGGCTGACAATACTGTTATAAGGTTTGCTGAATAATATTTTGAAAACTTGTCTCACTGCTAGAAAGGACACAATAATTCAAATAGTGACGAAAGATTGACAAGTGATTACTGAAGCTAGTAGGAAAAAGAGACCATTTTCTATTATATCGCTTATACTGTAGTTCCATTTTATCGTTATTTCGTTACAGCGTGGGTCTTGGTTTACTTAGCTAATAATTCAATATATATAGAACTTTCCTATATTCTTTTCTCAATCATGATATATTATAATCTATTTTTATTATTTTTTCTAGGTCTGAAAGAATCGGAAAGATGAATGTGGGTGAATGAGGCAAGTCTCCGTGTTCGAGAACTATTGGCGGTACGATAACCTAAGCACCAATAACCGCGTATTTAACACTTATAAAAACGATGAAGGTATATGTTAACAGTATTTATTCCTCAGTTAAAATTCACACCGTATTGGAAGGTTCATTGTCTCGACAAAAACTTGAGGATATTTTTTAGAACAATACGGTAATAAGAGTGTTCCTTCTGCAATGTTCTCGGCTATGACTGGAGGAATTTGAAGCCTCTAACTCTTCAAGTAGGTCAATCAAATACTCAGGAATATTGACTCAAATCACATAGTTTACCTTTATGCGACGTGCTCTGAGCAGTGCTTACTCGTTATAAGTGCTTAGATGTCGACCACTGCAGCAAAAAATGAAAGTTGACCATTGAATCATTAAAATTACACATGAAGCTACTTACAACAAAGCGCTCGCATGAAAATTGATGCATATAATTACTCAACTTAAACGATAACAATATAACGTTGACAACAGATATCTATAAAAAATATACGAACTCTTTAACAATACGATAACTATCTGAAAATTGATCTTTGTTTACGTACAGTATCGTAATCAGTAGATATGGGAGGGGAGGGGAAGGTGTCTTGGGATGTAGGAGTGGAAGATGGAGGAAAACTTGAGCGGGTGGGATAGGAAAGAAGGGGAGAGGAAGGGGATGTGGAATGTAGGAGGGATGGAAGTGTGGTTGGGAGGTGGAGGAAAGGATGAGCGGACGGGATAGAGGGGAGGGGAGGGGTGGGAGGGTAGTGAATGCAAGGAGGAGGGGGAACTCTTGTATGACCTTCCCCCAGTGGCCCGGACATCCTCTCATCTGCCTTACTCATTCTCTCATTGAAAATTGTAAAACCAAATATGCGAAATTAGTAAACTGAAAAAATCTTATCTAAAATAAAAAGTTTTGAAATAACTATCAGTAAATTCCTAACTTAATCTACCCACATCTCAAGAGACCTAAGGTATCCCTAATTTAACCTACTAAGCTAAGTTAGCCTAGATGAATTTAACCTAACCTAACCTAAATTAACAAAACCTAAATGGATATAACCTAATCTAAGTTAACTTAACCTAAACTTAATAACTCACACAAACAAATACCTGTAATTCCCTCCATTATTATTTTCTTAATTGTGCTGTGATGAAGCAGGTGTTGAGGCAGACAGTGCACATGTGTACACCACCGTAACAACTTCCTGTGTGTTATCCAGCAACATCCTTCATCCCTTCACAGGTTCCGTTTCCCACTGGTCTCAACTTCCTCCCATCCCCGTCCTCACAATTATAAAAAAAGGTCACATTAAAAAATTCATGCCAGACTAACAAAAGGCAAAGATAATGTGATGGATAATATAGGTGATTGTTCAGTGTTTGAGAATGAACCACCCTACGTCACTACAATTACGTCTGTAGTGCAGCATCGCAAATGTATGTACAGAACGTATATATAATATGACTTTTTTATGTACATTTAGACACAATATAAGAAAAGGTGTAATAAAACACATATCTCCGTTCCGCCTCTTCAGGGTTTAAATAAAAATTTTGTCAGACGTAGGTAAATGATAAAATGGATTCAAAAATTGACAAAATAAAACAATTACCTGTATATTATAAAGTAGGTTATAGCCTGGGGGTACAGTACTGGCAGCTGTCATCACTGTTATGGCTGAGATCGGTGAGTTAGAGTTGATGTTTACGGTGATTTATCTTCTAATCGAACTGGCTTTTGACTCGAGTATCCTCGCAGAAAACCCTCCATATATAAACGATCATCTTTAGTTATAAATGTCATTGTCTTCGATCACAGAATCCTTTATAATCGCCACTATCATCCCATGTACTACACGCACCTCCGTAACAACAACAACGGGTTTGGCTCAGAGTGCATTGGGATAAACAAACGATGACAAGGAACACGGCCCTAATATTCTTTCTCCAGATTAATCCCTCACTGAGCAAAGGCCGCAAATCTGACCGACACAATTCTACTGACTATAAAATAATATGTCTCAACTGTTTAACGTAAAGTATATTTGGCATAAAAATAGTTAACTTTTCCATACCCAACTAGCATAATCTACTTTAGATACACCAAAGCTATTAATCTAGTGTGCACCACTAACAGGGAGTGGTAGTGTGTGGATCACTAGCAGGAAGCAGATGGATCAGCTGTTTGTGTGTGGGCAAGAAGCAATTAAGTGGTGACGTACTGAGAGTAGTGATTGAAGACCTTACCTATCCTTACTGTACACTGTATATAAAATGTTTATTATTACAGTAAGGGAACGGTACTTAATTTTCATCATTATTATTTTGGTGATGGGATTGCTTCTCCGGTGACATACTGTCTAGTCCAGACTCCAGATGAACATTGTTTGGTTGGATTTAATCCGGTGGGTAACAGTACAGTAGGTGACAGCAGGTAGCTGGACGAGTGGTGGCCCAGCACCCAGAGCGGTGGAAGGCGGGAGGGGACGGCAGGCTGGTGGAGGGGCGTGGAAAACCATCAGGTGGGTGGAGGGCCCGGCAGAGGAGGTGGTGATGCTGGTGGTGGCAGGCCGCCCACTTCCTGGCCCGAGGCAGGCGTGAGATAGACGGCTGCAGGCCACCGACCTGCTTTGTCCCACACTTGCAAGCGTGTCCACCATCGTTGACTTAAAACTGATGAACGATAATTTATCACTTTACTAGCCATGGCGAAATATATTCGTGAATATTAAATTACGCCAATTGGTAAAACTTAGCAAAGACTGGAGGTTTTAGGGTAAGATGGTTTATATAAATTTGTTTCTACGTACTGTGATTCTGCTGTGCATCCATGTCTTATACTACGAGGAAAGTTATTAAGCAATACGAGGATTCATAGCAAGGGGTGTGTTCAGAAACAGTGGAAATCCCATGCGCTGTGACCACGTTTCTCTGTCCAACACGCGGCCTTCCCCCGACCCTCCCACCTCGGGCGCCCACCACCACCATCACAAGGACTTGCTCCACGTTGCCCGCGCACCAGGACAACCACCAAACTTAACTCGCTTTCTTTCCATGACTTTATGATACAGCTTTCATCTTCCTTGACATTAGCTTTCTATCACGTCTCTACCCCAAAGGTGAAGAAGTTAAAGGCAAGGAATCTAATGTATATTAAGTTTATCCAAGGTTTATTTGTTTCAGCAAAGTACGTTGAGAAGTGTGAAAGTTTCCAATCTGCCATTTAAAGTAAATTGATTGCGTAATTTTGTTGTCGTAAATAGCAGACCAACTTCTCCCTTTAGTAAACTATCTTAGTATTGGCATGATGCGTGTTACCCTTCAACGTAAAATATTGTATCATATAGAAAATATTATCGAAAAACCTAGTTGGAAGTGTGAGTTGGCGGCCACATGGTGCGTCGTGAGGATCAGCTGATGCCAGAGAGCGGTAGCGTAGCACGTGAACGCGCAGTTCAGCACGAATCGTCGAAGAGGACGGGCACGCTCGGTCCTCTCTTATTGAAGTGTGACCTGCAATATATATTTAGTGTGGTGATAGTGAATCATTTGACTGAGTTTTATATATTATCAGTGAACACAATGGCAAGCTTAACACTTGAAGAAGACCTTAATGCAGCTGCATGTTTAGTTGCCATGAAGGGTGGTGGTAGGGTGAGCCCGTGGGCGGCTCCAGACACCCACAGTCAACGCCCACGACTTCAAGTAAAAACTCATCTACCGCTGCAGAACCCGTACCATGACCCACCGCCCACACACACCCCGGCTTCCAGTCCTGAACACTCCCCGTCAGTAGAATACACACACCACGCCCCACCTCTCTCTCCCGCCCACCATATGTATCAGCCTCCTACTCCGCCCACACCTCCGTCGCCCCCCACGCCGAATTTGGAGGATCACTCATACTGCCCCCCAATGGAAACCACAGACCCAGCTAACGATCGCTCCGTGTACCTGATCGCCCGCATCTTGGCTGACCTAAAGCGTGTGCAGCAAGATAGGAAAGAGGTGCGGGATAAAGACCCCCCACCACCACCACCAGACTCACAAACACCCGCCCACACACCTCCACAGACCCAGGAACTACCACTAGACTTCAGCAGGAGAGGCCTGCCTGAGGTAACAGCAACAGAGCCAGCAGCCGCGCCACGGACGCCCAGAGGTATGGGTGGTAGGCGTGGGCGTGGTCGGGCAAGCCAGCAGAAAGTAGAGGATAAGCGCGCCCATCCGTGCACCTTTCCCGGCTGTGACAAAATATACGGCAAGTCTTCACACCTCAAGGCTCACCTGAGGACACACACAGGTGAGTGAGACCTTAGTTGTGCACTTTTCTGACTTTGTTCACTGTTTAAAGAGGTGATGCAATAACAGTCTACGCTTTACTGTTGATTATCGCGCTACGGTGTTGTGGCAGAGTAGGTTAAGAAAGTACCGGAGGCGGGTGTATGGTGGTACAGGTTTTTTAGACCCGTTTCTCAGCGATTGTGCTGACGTTGGGTGGGAGGGGAGGTTGTTCCTGGGCAACTGGGTGACAGGCGGTGAAAGCTGGCAGCTGCACCCCCATCACCTGCCTGCTGCTCATACGCCACGGCACTGTTTGTACCCCGCGTTTTATAAGTTGAATTTATATGACAACTAATTATGTTTTATAATTTCGCATGATGACACAAGATTACAGCTATTAATCATAAACCAACCGCCAATTAAGTATCTTAGTCATTATCGTATTTGTTTTTCACTAATATGTGGAAGTTAAAAGGACTTGAACATGTCTGCACCGTGAGTGTGGTGCAGTGAGTTGTTTGGGTGTGCCCAGGGTGAGGCAACGTGGCTGGTGAGTGGCAGTGCCCACGGATGCCAGCCTGTGGCCACGCGGAATCCCTTCACCTGGCCCTACACGCCCTCCCACCCGCTTGTGCTCGCTGCTCAAATCTTTTTGTGTTGTGTTTTTTAAATGGTGGTACACACGCGACGCATGATGAGGGTGACAGCAGTTATGGCGGTAACCCCCAGGGCTGGTGTGTCACTCGTCCCTCTAAGTTGAGTTAAGCCAGGCTTAGCGGCTTGTGGTAGAAAGACTTGTGTAAGGGTGGAGTGTGGGCGTGGACAGGCAGTGGTTGCGGTGCCACGCCCACCAGCTGACGCAGCAGGCGGTGGCCAGTCGATACGGGAAGACTTGGTTGAAGGTGCCTCAGCCTCCCTCCCCAGGGCGGATATCGCACGGTTCGCACCTGAATCAATACTGCCTTACAGGGGAATGATATGGTGACGGAGGCGTGTGGGAGGCCGCCAACTTGTTGACATGGTGGAGGGCGTGTGCTGATGGTTGGACCCGCGCCAAGGTTGCCTGCTGCTGCGCTGCCCTGCAACCTGCAAGGCCGATCACCTGCTCCGCGCCCCCGCCCACTCCTGCCTCCCGCCCGCCCCTCCGTGTATCTCGTGCGTCACACACAATTAAAATTAATAATGTGGATGTTTACCCTTAAATGTGGTGTGAGTGACCTTGTGTATGTGTCGCTGGTGCAGTATTGATTACCGCTGTTAGTGTTGGGGGGGGGGGCTATCGGACACATATCACGTAACAGATGAACCACCTTGCTGATGGCTGACGTTCACTAGGTAGCCTACTGGGAGACTTGATCACTTATACATGAGATCTGTATAGGCTTGGCTCAACCACACACACACACACAAGTCGGTGATGTGTGGTGAGGATGGAAGGGACAAGTGATAGTGGACGGTGAGTTGGGGGCGTGGTGGTGGGTGATGACAGCTAACACTACCCCGGGCGATCACCACTCACTCAACCCACTTCATAACACCACCCAACTTCCCCACTCTTCCCCACTCCCTACCTCCCCCCTCCTCTCCCTACACCCCACCAACTCCAGGAAAGACATATTTACACGATGTCTCCTGTATACGGAAGAACGTCAGTCAGGATCTATCTCTTAGGTGCAGTGAGAAGCCACGGGGTCCCGGGTGGGGTAGACAAGGAGGCAACCTCCCCCCTCCCCCAGCGGAAGAATTGTGAACTATTTGTCAAACTATCTTGTCATCATTAACAGTGAGTCGTGTTTTATTTGGCCTGGGTGGGTGTGGCAGAGTTGGGTGGTGTGGGTGGGTGTGGCAGAGTTGAGTGGTGTGGGTGGGTGTGTGGTGGTGTGGCAGGGTGTGTGTGGGTTGGTGGTGTGGGTGGGGTGTGAGTTGGGTGGTGTGGGTGGGTGTGGCAGAGATGGTGTGGGTGGGTGTGGCAGTGGTGGGTGGTGTGGGTTGGGTGTGGCAGGTTGGGTGGTGTGGGTGGGTTGGGTGGTGTGGGTGGGTGTGGCAGGATTGGGTGGTGTGGGTGGGTGTGGCAGGTTGAGTGGTGTGGGTGGGTCTGGCAGAGTTGGGGTGTGAGTGGGTGTGGCAGAGTTGGTGGTGTGTGGGTGTGGAGTTGGTGGGTGGGTTGGTGTGGCAGTTGAGTGGTGTGGCAGAGTTGGGTGATGTGGGTGGGTCTGGCAGAGTTAAGTGGTGTGGGTGGGTGTGGCAGACTTGGGTGGTGTGGGTGAGTGTGGCAGACTTGGGTGGTGTACATGGGTGTGGCAGAGTTGAGTGGTGTAGGTGGGTGTGGCAGAGTTGAGTGGTGTGGGTGGGTGTGGCATAGTTGGGTGGTGTGGGTGGATGTGGCAGAGTTGAGTGGTGTGGGTGGGTGTGGCACTAATGGATGGTTGTGGTGGGTGTGGCAGGGATCCCCAGCGGTTAACTATAAGATGCGTGGCGCTGGGAGGCAGGTGGTGCAGCAGGAGGGTGGGGGGTACAGGTGGTGATGTACGCACCTCAGAATGCGTTGGTTGAATTTTGTTTAACAATGTTGTGTTATGTTGTGTATGAGTGAGGGGGCGTGGTGGTGAAGGCGGCGGTGGTGGTGGTGGGTGGTCGATACCTGGCGTGCATCACAAGCACTGTTGAAACATTGATGGCGCCCTGGGGCTGCCGAGGGACCAGGTGGGGCTACAGGGATCACCACCCACCTCCTACAAGAGCACCAGTACTCCTCACCAAATAATAATAAATCGTTTACACAGTCTACCCCGCGTAAAACATTCCAACAGATCGACCGACTACCATGACGTCAAGAGAAACCATTCATAACACGTATTGTTTACCCTGGAGAGTACCAGAACGCTGGCCGCAGTTTGAGGAAGACTGTACAGTATGTTAGGTTTGGAGGATGAGGCGGTGCTGAGGGTGGGGTGGGGAGGGGGGCGTGGTCGGAGTTTCTGCTGCTGCCTGGAGACGCGCCCTCGGTCTGTCCTACCCCACAGGTATTGATGGTGTTGGTCGTCCCGGCTACTGTTGTTCCCTTCCTGTGTAGGTCACCTCGTCTGCTGGCTGAGTCACGTCACAGGTGGAGCTCCTTCACTTACCCTCCCTTCTCTCCCTCCTTCTCTTCCTTCTCTTCCTCCCTCCCTCCTTCCCTAGCAGCAGGGTGTGTCGGGTACTAGCAGCAGGGTGTGTCGGGTACTAGCAGCAGGGTGTGTCGGGTACTAGCAGCAGGGTGTGTCGGGTACTAGCAGCAGGGTGTGTCTGGTACTAGCAGCAGGGTGTGTCTGGTACTAGCAGCAGGGTGTGTCGGGTACTAGCAGCAGGTCCTGGGGTAGAGGCAACCCAGTCGTTGTCGGTTCCCCAAAAACTGGTCGGTAGCGGCGGCGCCCTTCACCTTTGCAGGGGTGTCAGTGAGGCCACACCCTCCGCCTCGACGCCCCCAGGCGCTGCGGCCCCTCCACACATTGTTGTTTATGGATCTAAATCGTCCTGGTGTAAAAGAACAGATCACAGGACGACATATTGTGTTTATTACCTCCTCCCCAGCACTACAACGCAGGTAGCGGGAGTGTGTAGTGAGGGCTCTCTAGTGTGTGGTGTGTCCGGCTCATCTTCTCCATGCCTGTGAGCGTAGAACAGGGATGAATGTGTTGCGTGGCTGCTGGTGTTCCCACGGGTGGACGTGGTGCCGGGCGGGGGATGAGTGACGGCAACAAGGCCTGCACCATTAGCTTGGTGGTGGTGGAGGGCCCGGATGCTTGGAGTCTCTGGGTGGCCCCCACGCTTCGTCCTTGCCCACACCCAGCTCCACCTCCTACTCTCATTCTCCCCACCTTGCACTGTGTTCTGCTCCTCATCCTGGTAAAACACAACCATCGCACGGTTGATGGACCCGACCCACCGCCAGACTCGTTAGATAAGCCCTGACTTCTCTTAAGAGCAACCTAATTAGACTCGGGACATCACTTTGTTATCATTGAGTATCGCCACTACCATGACCCGTCCCTCTCCACCATCTAAGGCAGCGTACATCGAAACTATTGATCTGTGCTACAGGTGGCCATAGCACCGTAGGTTCGTGGGGACGTAATGGGTAGTTTAGTGGGCGTGTGTATGTGTGTGTGGGTGCATGTGTCCGGCTGGGGCGCCCCGCCAGCTGCTCCCACACAGGAAATGCTTTGTCGTCCTGCGGCCTCCATGTGGCGGCCTCCTGGGTGGGCGTGGGCGGTCCAGGAGGCAAGAATGTTGGGGTGGGTGGGTGAAGGACCCCCTACTACGGAGCAGCCGCACGGCCTCGGTGACCATCAGGGCTAGAAGATGAGAGGCACACTTGGGCCTGACATTAGACCCGTCTATAAATTATCCTGCAGAAGTATGCTGTGCGGTGGTTCACTCCCCATTACGCTGGTGGTAATTCTGGTTATTTCTTCCTCGCTCTATGGCGGAGTGAGCATGGGAAGGCGTCCAGGACAATGAAACACTACGTAACATTCGTGTACCCTCCCAGGACCAGCGGAAGGAGAGGTAGGGGGGAAAGGGCTGAGAGAGTATGAGGGGGAGCACTACCAAGAGTGAGCACGAGCAAGACAGTAGCTGCAGATAAGCATGAGTAAGTGGTAGGTTTGTACCAGTTAGTGAAATGTGCCGTGTCACCCTCGCTCTCACCGTACATGTGTCGGCCGCACCACGCCCCCCTACCCCCACCCTACTACACCATCACCACACAACTCTTATGGTGTATAGGCCTCTGCTCATAATCAGTTGGTGAGGAGAGATCCTGTAGAGAAGTGAATTGAAACAGTTTATTTAGCCAGAAAAACACAGATACAGAGTGGATAATAATAACAATATTAACATGATTGAGCCAGTTGAGAACCTGATCCTGTAGAGGTAGCTCAGGGTTCACCTGTTAACGGAGGAGCGTATGTTGCGGTGTGAAGGTGGGCTGCCCTCTACCACCCAGCCCGCCCCTCCTACTGCTGCACCTTACTCGTG